TCTGACTTATAATAAGAGTTATCACTGTTTGAAATATGAGAAGTAAAGAAGGGAGGTGCAGTGAAGGAGAGAAAATTAACAGAGAGGGGAAAGAGGGAATCCAACGAAGAAGTCGATAACCCCCCCCCCCCCCCTTGCAGTCCAGCCTTGCTTCTCCCATTCATTACCTTGTGCAAGAAGATGAACAAATCTGTCCAATAAATAGGAAGCACCGAGATACGAGAAACACAAATGAGGAAAAAGTGAAGAAAATAAGTACGCCCAATGTGGGGCTCGAACCCACGACCCTGGGATTAAGAGTCCCATGCTCTACCGACTGAGCTAACCGGGCTGTGATGTCAAATTGCCCGTTTGGATCGAACCAAAACACGACGAATGTAATAATAATTACTAATGATTATAATGATATCCCGCTTTTATATATTGCTAATATATCAACGATGTCTCTAAGCGCATTACAGATATGATATTCCCCCTGGTCATCGGATTCAGGCTTCCCTGCACACACTATTATGCACATTCTCCACTCCCTGGGGAGCATTCCAGCCAGGCGTCATTTTACAGACGCTCAAACATGCTGAGCAAACTACATTTACTTTCGCATTTAGCACCTGGGTGGAGAGTGGCAAATGTAGATTAACGTCTTGCCAAAGGACGTTAATGTCGGGCTGGGATTCGAACCATGTACCTTGTGATCTACAGTCGGTGATTTATCCACTAGACCACAACACCTCTAAAATCACTAAAATCCATTATAAGAATGCTCGCATGTCTTCCTAAAACCTATTGCTTTTCAGATAAATAAGGCACAACTAACATTAGATTTTAGATGTGACATGCTTTTCTTTTTCTTCTGATATGTTACAAGAGTAATTTTCATCGCTGCAATCTGCACATAAGGGGATTTCAAATTCGAATATTAGAAACATGTTTATGACATAATGTGTTATACTTAACTTCTTATGTGCAGATGATGAAAAGTACTCTTGCAACATATCAGAAGAAATAGAAAAGCATGCCATATCTTGACATTGACTGTAACTTATTTATCTAAAAAGCAATTAGTTTCATGAAGACATGTTAGCCGATTCTCATAATGGATTCTAGTGGTTACATTCATTATTAGAAAAACGGTGTATAGTTTCATTAAGTTCACATATCTAGTTTAGACAATTTGATAGAGACGCCCTCCCCACCTCAACATTGTAGATGACAAAATAGGGCAAGACAATAATTGTCAATTCAAATACAAAAGTATTGATTAGAAAGATGCAGACATTTTGTTTTGTTTCGATTCAAACATTCAAGTTGTCATCACAGCCCGGTTAGCTCAGTCAGTAGAGCATGGGACTCTTAATCCCAGGGTCGTGGGTTCGAGCCCCACATTGGGCGATCCTTTTTTGTTTTCCAATTTCCAAAGGCTAGTGTGCATAATATTATGAAAGCTCACATTGGTATGAAACGTGACACTCAGATGTACATAATAACTATGTTTAAATGTGGAGACTATTTCTTTACTTTATTGTATTTTCTATTCATTTATTTATTTTATTGTATTTTTTTTAAATTATTATTTTTTATTTATTTATTTATTTATTTATTTATTTATTTTTTATTTTTTTATTATTATTATTATTTTTTTTTCCCATTTTTTTTTTTCCCATTTTTTTTTTTTTTTTTTGGGGGGGGGGGCCTTTGAATACAAAATATTCACATGATCATGCATGCCATGCATTGTTTCCAAAATGAATAATGATAACACATTGTGTCATAAACACGTTTCTAATATTCCAATCTAAAATACCCTGATTTCGCATGTGGAAAGTAAAGTCTTCTTGTAACATATTAGAAGAAAAAGAAAAGCATGCCACATCTAAATAATAATAATAATAATGGTGGATTCTTATATATAGCGCACATGTCCGTCACGTTGTGACGCTCCTGGCGCTGCCCCGATTATTATTACCCTGGCATTAGCAAGGCAGCCACTGCGACGCTCTAGCATTTCAATTTCATTTCATTTCAAGGAATATTGATTACTGCCAGGTATTCATTTACATCACCTGGGTTGAGTGTGGCAAATGTAGATCAATGTCTTGCCAAAGGACATTGGTGCCGCGGCGGACCTTAAGATCCACAGTCCGTCGACGTATCCACTCGACCACAACACCTCTACCTATATTAGTTGTGCCTTATTTATCTGGAAAGCAATAGGTTACATGAAGACGTGTGAGCATTCTTAATAATGGATTCTAGTGATTACAATCATTTTTAGAAAAACGGTGTAAAGTTTCCTCATGTTCCAAACCCTAGTATTAACAATTTAATAGAGACCCCCTCCCTCCCAACCCCAACTTTATAGATGACATAATAGGCCAATTAAAATTCAAATACGATTTTTTTTTATAAGAATCCGAACATCATTCTTATCTTTTAACAAAGGATGAATGTGTCTTCACGAATTTGCTAAAGGGGAGTGAAAAAAGTAAAATAAGAGATC